AAAAAAAATGCAGTTCATGATCCTTTTAAAGTAACTGTGATTTTTTTGTGATCAAAATTAACATGGAATGACATTAAAAATGAGCATGACTACCACTGTCAGTATATTTACATGCACTAATCTTTGACAATCCGAATAAATACAATCCCGTTTCAGATTCTGAAAGTTCTGCTTATATGAGCCTTAAGCTTTGCAATCAATTTCACATATTTGTTTACATGTGCAATATATTTATTCCGATCAAAAAGTCATGCATGCACAGTGCATCTATTCAGAAAGCCACCGCATTAATGTCAACGGAGCTACATGAGTAACATTATTATTTATGATTATTGATTATTTCGGTGCATGTAAATATAGCTTGTGTAAAACAAACTAACAAACAAACAACTCAAAAGCATGTTAAAATGATTTAAAGTAGAGCTTAAAAAGCATGCTAATCCAATTTCCACTGCTTCCACTCACATACGCTTCCAGTGTGAAACAGCCATAACCCCAATCATGCCGTCACAGCATCTAGACAAATGCAAAAAAGATAGAAATAAATGAGGATATCACAAGCAAAAACTTTTACAACTTTTTCAGTCCAATATCAAGTGATATTTCTTTCTCTATACTGTTTTAATTACCCCATTGGGTGATAACTGGTTCTTTGAAGGTTCTGTGGGACACAAAACAATCATATTCTGATTTTTCATTTTCATTGATCTCCACACTCTTCTTCAGCTGGAAGGTTTCATCATGGTTTGGTCTGATTCCTGTGGATTCAATCTCATCTTCAGGCAGAGATGTGCAATATTTCCTCATAACCAGTGTCATGTCTTTGGGGTAGAAGCCACTGACCAGACAGGTGAGTTTCAGCTTGGTTTTGTCACTGGTGGACCTTTTTGCAAACACATGAACATCTGGAGGAGCTGAAAACACAGGAATCAGTTTATCAATCAGTTTCATCTTCTACAGCTGCAGAACATAAAACAAATACAAACACATTTACTCACAAGTGTTTCTGAGATGCTCGTCTCCATATTCTCTGAATTTGTTGAGCCAGTCCACACACTCTTT